TGAAGTGCATTGAATGCAACACTACAATCACTAAAACCAGACACCAGCCAGCCAGTCAGTCAGTGAGTCACATTCAGGCATTGAATATGCCACCAAAAAAATCGAAAGAAACAAAAACTAACTGCTACAATTGACTAGACAATTTCTTTCGGGATTTTTCTTTTCGTATTTCAAAATTTTTAGCTGCTGGTCAACAGCACAAAAGTACGTCCCAGTGGAGCTATAACTGCATATGTGCGCTGTGAAACGAAAAAGAGGAGTGTAGTGCTATGAGGTATATAGGGAATCGCAGGGAATTTTCAATAGTCACAGTGGCATTTTCTGTAAAATAAAATACTAGGAGGGCTTCAATTCATACCTACAATACCTACCTACCTTCATCCTTGCTCCGTTATTCAGTATACTAAAGCTCGCCTGAATTGGCCATTTGGCAGGGCAGTTAGCGCTATGGGCACGTCCACTGGACAATGTAGTTTTGTTATATAATATTATATATATGAAGATATGTATATCTGTACAATGTATGAGATATTGCTTGCTTGCTATAAATATCTCKTCGGCGCCGGGCAATCAGCTAACTAAGCATTGAAACTATTGCCGCAGCTGATAGCATCGCCACACCGTAGTATATACAACTAAAAAATTGTACCTCGAAAGAATGTCTCTTTACTGTTGGCTACTTTTTCAAAAAAAAAAATAAAATAAATATTATTTAGATGCGTATGCATTTTAAGTGGCTATGCGTGATTATATATCATATAGATTTATTATTGCTCACAGTTTAACAAATTTTTCCAAACAAAAATAATAATTTTTTTGAATAAATAAATGTGTATTGAATTCCTTTCAATAAAAAAAAATTGTTTTTAGGAAAAAACAGCACATTGGAGCATAATTTGAATTTTTAAACATAAAAGATCATATTAGAAAGTTGTTTGTGCATACTTTTGCTAAATAAATAATAGTTAGAGTAATTCCACACAGCTATCTAAAAAATCACAATTTATTTAACTCTAAAATGCCTTTGAATATAGCACTTTTATTGCCTGGCATTCTATGTCTCAATTGCGGCATAAATAGTCTAAAAGCAATTGAGATTTTATACTAAATTTTTCACTTACATATTAACATATTTTTTCATTACAAATTCCTTCCACTCAACATACAAAATTGCTGATATTGCTGTTTAAGTGCATGCTTGGGCAAAAAATTTGTCAAATAATCAGCAAGTTGTGCAACTATTGCAAAAACATATATTTTTTAATGTTTATCAGTTTTGCATGCAATTTAATAAAACACAATTTTTTGCTGAAATTTATTAGTTGCAAAAAAAAAGTGTGGCTCACCATTTGAGTGTCGAAAATGTTGTCCTTGCTAATGAACAAACATGTTGAAATCGATGCTTGACAGAGTCATGTGATAGAGGAAATGAATTTCTGAAAAAAACAGAAAGAAAGAAACACAACAAACTCACTCGAATGAAATGCTTTAAACACGAGCAAAACGCTTATATGAATTTTTAGCTGAAAAGGGAAATTAAATTTTACTTTAATGCTTAATATATTATATACAGTTTATATATGTATAAATATATATAAATTTTACCAAAAATTCCTAAAAGCAATTTATAGCGAGGCAACCCTAAAAAATTGGGCTAACTATTTTCACTCCGCCTTAAACACGGAAGGATATTTACAAAAATAAATATTTATTTATTTATTTTTTTGAATTAWTATGTTCTTTATATTTCCCATAAACTCCAGTTTACTGTTGAAATATACCTTAAACACATCAATCGATGGCTTAAATAAATATTGTTAATAGTACTAAACATAATGTTAAACCCGCCACTTTTATGTGCTTGTGTTGATAGATCCCTAGTTTGTAATCAAATTTTAGAGCAAATAAAAAAAATAAAAAAAATGGTCTGACCATTGAAATCGGATGTTTAGTTAAAGTTTTTTATATTAATCCTAGACCACGCAACCATCTACTTTTAGAAGTATTATCTTCTAAACAAAATAAAATTTCTGAGTAGTACGAGAATGACTAGAACTTTCGTGAATGACCAAAAGTAAATATCAATTATCAGTAATTAAATGTTCGAATTCTGTGCTCTTGTCTCTCTCCTCATATGGAGTTTTGGCAGATGTCACATTAAGGTTTCAGATAACTTAATTTGACTTGGAACCTAAGTAGAAGCCATACAAGTGTTATAGATGTACCCTAACATCACCTTCTTCTTTACACATACATTGATTAAAGATCCTGACTGCAGTTGTGACTTGGGACTGGTAGCGGTACTGGTATCGGTATTGCGCAAAAAAATAAAGATTAGCTTTGGTTACACCGAAGCTCTAGTACAAGTACTTTTTACAAATCAAAAAAGGTTCCTTTCTCAATTACTCCAGTTTATATAGTAGTTCTATTCTGTAGTGGTCAGGACTAAAAGTTCGAATATTTGAATCGATATCGTTGCTTTACACAAAATTTGGCATAAATTACGGACCAAATTTATACCAAATTTTGTGACGGTATCCTTTAAATAAAAAAAAAACAAAATCATACAAGAACTATATTTTAATCCTTCAGTTTGTATGGTAGTTATATAATATGATTGTCCGATTTATTCTATAATTGTCTGATATCAATGTTTCCGCAAGTAAGCAACATCTTGGGAGAAAAGAACGTGTGCATTTCAGACCGCTATCTCGAAATCTGTGGGACAAGTTTATACGTGTATATGTATGTAGATGGACAATTGAGCGGATGGAAACACGGATGTGCCTGATTGAATCAGATCGTCATCATTTATGCATATATTTTATACGATCTTCCTTCTGGCTGTTACAAAAATTCGTGCCAAACTTAAATTGTCCCTCAAACTTTGTTGACTTTGTAAAACATTTACATGAACTCAAATAGATAATTATTTAATTTTCTAGGCGTCAGCAATCTATATTAAATGAATAAGTAGACATATTTATAAAATATTTCTATAGTTACATTTCAATAATTTCCTTTTATGCGTTAAGACAACCGTGATATGAGAGTAATATTTCAATAACTTATTTGTTTACAAGAAATTTGTAGCTAGCAGAGTCGTTTGATAATTCAGTGGAAGCTAGAGAATGGATACCCAGCATTTTATGAGTCTCACAAATATTATTACTGAAATTGTTTACTAATATTTATCTTCATTAGTTAGGAAGTGTTTTTCATGAGGGTCGACTTTGTTTTTTGGGCCGAAGTTAATCTGTAGTTAAAGTAAAAAGCAAGAACGCTCTTCCGTTAAAAACGCCTGAAATATACTTAAATAATATAAGAGGGTGCCATTTTATCGTGAAATACACGACTTCATGCGGAAATGCGGATCCCTGCCATGAATTCATCTATACTTGAAACAAAAATCATCGGAGAGACTATATTTTAAAACAACTAACTTGCACAAGAGCTTTGCTTTTATGATTAGATACCAAAAATTGTGTAACTGAAAGTCCAAATATTAATGCATGTATAATACCCTTTAAATTTGCGAACTATGATTTTAATGTACAAAATCAAAGCCTACCGTCCTTCAAGACAGAAAAGACAAAAATTTGGCGGTATATATAGGACCTTATAATCTATGGCAATTCTAAGAGATGGACTTATCATAGCCCCTCGTACACTAAAAATAAACGCTTTGTAATATTACTAATAAGCTTCATATCTAATTGGACTGCTGCTGTGCTTTTTGCAATTTCTTCTATGCACGAGCCAACTTAACCACACCATGTTAGGTGACTGGTTGCAATTAAAGGTAATTTATGCTACTAGAAACGGGCGAGGGTGTCACTTCTGGCATTTCATTGATTAAATGCAAATCCAAGCCGCACTTTGGCATACTTGAACCTTTGTTATTTAAATTGTAAGAATTTTTTATTACTGAACCCAGTGCACAATCCCAAAGCAACAGTTTTAATTCTTTAGTTGGATGTAAATAGACATGTACAGGGTGGTTTCAAAGTATTTCTTTTATATCGCCGATACCAGCTTAGGCCAAGAAATGTTCTTTATTTCTTACGAATAATTCAAGAGAATCGTAGGATACTAAGTAAAGCTTCCCTCTGTAGGCTGTGCCCAAAAAATAAGGTGATGTGTGTTTATTTTGAAAATTTTTTATTTATTCTTCCAAATCAATTTCACCCCCTTCAAAGCAATACCCACTAGATGTAGTACATTATGCCAACGGATTTTACAATCCTCAAAACACTGGTTGTAGTCACTTTCCCGGATGGCCATCCGTCTTCGCTGCGGCTTGAATATCGTATAAAAACGGTGTCCCCGGAGCGGTCTTGTGAGCTTGGTGACGGCGCCAGATCAGGTGAATACGGTGGTTGCGGAACGATATGGTTTGAGTTTTTGGCGAAATGATCATTTAATGCAAATTCTTTGCTCAACAAATTTCGACTTCGCAAAAAAACGAAAAACTCACTTTTAGCAGCTCACAAAACGACAGCTAGGATAGTTAGGCGAACTTTTCTGTAAAATATTACAAAACAAAAGGGCTTATTGATGAATTGGCCGCCTCAATTTAGAGTCACTTCTCCTGGAATTTAATCCTGAAAATTCTCAAGTTGCCGAAAGCCGGTTTACTGACTGAAACCACTGAGCTTCAATAGTGTAGGAGCGAAAAAATCAACGCGGTGTCTTGAAACAGCCTCCGATTTCAATTTAAAGAGGCTTATAGTTCACCCTGTCGATTTGTCCAATGACAAATCAATCGTTTTGATAATACATATATGACAGCTTAATTACAAGATTTACGACCGAACCTATTACTCTCTTTTGTGCGTTGGGTACAACGCCCGAGCTGGTGCCACGCTAGACTAGTTCTTTAATTGTTTGCAAATAAAGAACTGGATTGCAGAAAATTCTTGTTTAGTTTAGTTTTCCCTCATATGCATAAATCAATTATATTTCATAAATAGAGCTATGTGATATAAAAACGGCGAGATCAGTTAGACTTTGTGTTAAAGTGCTCAACTTGGTTCAAGTCAACGGATGCAGATTTAGTGCGGTGAAAATCAATTGAATAGAAAGATGAGGACGGCAACGGTGAGCTATTTTTCACAAATAATTGAAGAAGTGATGTTAATATTTAATATAATTTTGGCAGGTTCTTTCCTTAGCCGCAATTACCTTTTTGTGCGTTGCTCAAAATGGAGCTAGCATTGTACCCTTGACGGGTGTGAATCAACTACCTTTGGTGCTTTCTGTACCAACTGTGGTGACTGTAGTTCGAACAGAAGACGATGGACAATACAAACCAGTGCCCGGTTTGGAGGGCGAATATGTGCCAAGCATCGAGGATGCAGGTATAACCAACGTCATAACTACAGGAGTATTGCCTGGCGGTGTTGTTGGAGGACCTTTAGTCAGCTCTCCAGGTGCTCTGCTCACCGTTGGTGGACCTGTAAGTGTCAATGTTGCTGGTGTTGAAGGTGCGCCAGTTGCAGAAGCGGTGATTTCTTCTGCAGCTATTGGTGGTAGTATTCAAGGGGCTGACGGTGCAGATAGCTCTAGCAGCAATGGATCCAGTGACGGATCAAATGGAAGCGCTGGAGTTGTCGGAGCAGATGCTGCAGGAGGCGTACTTGGTTCTGCTGGTGATGAAAGTAGTGCCGACGGTGGTGTAGATTCTGGAAATGGCAGTGGTGGAGCTGGAGCCCTAGGTGTCGAAGCTGCTGCAGGTAGCGCTATTGGAATTGGAGGACCAAGTGGAGAAGCTGCTGCTGGCAGTGTCATCGCAGCCGAAGGACTAGCTGCCTCAGGAGCTGGTGCTGGTAGCGCTATTGGAGGACCAGGTGGCTCAGGTGGTGCTGGCGCAATTGAAGTCGTTGAGGGTGCTGCTAGATCTGGTCCTTATCTAATTGTTAGCAGTGCATCTGGCGGTGGKGGTGGTGGAGGTGGTGCCGGAGGCCTTATTGGTGCTGGAGGCGGTGGTGGCGGAGGCGGTGCTAGCGGAATTGGTGCAGCTGGTGGCGGTGGTGGTGCCGGTGGAGCCAGCGTTATTAATGGTATTGGTGGTGGTGGTGGTGCTGGAGGGGGTAGCAGTAGTGGTGGTGGCGGTGGCGGCGGTGGAGCTGGTGGTTCTGGTGGTCTGGCAATAATTGGTGGTCTTGCAACAGGTGGCGGTGGCGGTGGTGGCGGTGGAGGCGGTGGAGCTGGTGGTCTGGCGACAGGTGGTGGTGGCGGTGGCGGAGGTGGAGCTGGTAGTGCTGGTCTTCTTGCAATAGCTGGTGGTGCCGGTGGCGGCGGTGGTGGAGGTGGAGCAGGTAGTGGACATGGCGGAGCAGGAGGTGGCGGGGCCGGAGGCGCAGCTGGTATCGGAGGCGCTGCTGGTGGTGGCGGAGGTGGTGGTGCTGGTGCTGCCACTGGCATTGATGGCCGAGCTGGGAGCTCAGGTGTAAGTGGTGCAGACGCTTGGGGTGGTGGCGCGGGTGGTGCTGGTGGTCTTGGTGCGCCCGCTTTACCTTGGCTTAATCTTCATTAAGAAAGCTACTTTCTATAGCCAGTCTCTGTATAATGCTCAAAGTAATGGAAATGTGATGTGTAACCTAATATATTATATTTTTAACTTGACATCAATTACACTAGTTTAAGTCTAGTCGCCATTTTGTACTTGCAAGTGAATAAAAAGATTTCACAATAAAATTGTAACTAAATATTGGGGTCCCTAAAATCTTTTAAATTATATTTGTACGACAGTATCCCAAATTATTTCTGGGATATCTAGTAGATATAATTGACATTTGGAAGACCTTCTCTTCGATTATATATTTTTAACATTTTCCACAGAGGGTAAACCTATTCAGTACGATGATAATGTTCTCAAACACTTAGCCATGTATCAGCACACTCTTGACTTGACTTTAATTGTCGATCTTTTGTTGCAACATGTTATTATACATACTTCTCAATACCTCACTGAGACTAAATCGAATAAATTCATCCGAAGTAATTCCGAAACTTTGCTCCTATCAATAACTAGTATTTTGGGTATGACCACACCTGTAAAGGCTTTTTATAGCATATAGGTAAACTTCGACCACAGTCCTAATTATTGGCAAAATGAAATGCTGTTTCACTGCAGGCCAGAGATGTTGAGCAAATAAATTATTATTTCAAACCACACCCTTCGCATCTAACAAAACAACTAACATACTATAAATGAAATGTTATTTGCAACAACAATAATAAATCGACATTGGCAATAACTTGCACTTGTAACGAGCTCAATTGTTGACAATTTGCATAAAATATTTGCAATTTGTGGCAACAAAACGTGTGGCATTCATATGGAAATGCGGAATGCGAATTAAGCTAGTGCAGAGAAAGGGTACAGTGAAGTAAAGGCAAAGTGACCACAGTTTATATAACGTTGTCATAACACATATTTTAAACATTACTGTACATATGTGTGTCTGCATATTATGCATAACCACTCTTAAGTGTGCAGTGCCACAGAGAACAGTTACAATTTATTTAAATACTTTTTAATGGAGTTTTATGCGTTTAGACGTTTTCTTTGCCATTCTCTGTGCATATTCCGAGGTCACAGCTTAATGCATTTACCAATGACTGCAAATTGTATGATGTAAGCTTCCTAAATGCCATTACAATAATTCTCATTAAGGTTAGTGTGTGACTAGTGGGTAAAATGGCAGCAAAATGTGGCAACAGCTACGATTCAAATAGCGATAGTTTGACTTGAATATATTTATATATGTACATATGTTCTTCGGTTCATGTCAGCTATAGAGCCTGACTGTCTGTCAGTAGGGACGTTAAAATACTGCGACAAACCTCTCTTGAGGGTAAACCTTCAGCGAAATCATTCGCCATAAACATAGTAGTAAAGAGTTGATGTCAAGTACGCACTACAAAATTATTGCATAAGTCAGTTTTGGGTTGGACACTGTTTGTGTCTACTCACCGTCATTTGATTCCCACTTTTCATCCCCAGTAGGCAGCCTCTTCAGAAATGGACCGATTGTGTTACTTATCAACAACAATCCACCTGCCAGATTTGGTCCATGGAGTACGTTTGGCTTAACTCGTTTCACTCATATACAGGGCTTATATTTCTATTCAGATTTATTTCAATGGTCCAAAGCTGTATCTTGTGTATTGTTTAGCTCCTGGGCAATCTAAACGGATGTTACATGAAGCTCAAACTCCACGATTTTCATATTATTAAATTAGGTTATTGAGATCCACACAACCAGCACTTTATCGTCGAAACTCTAAATCTATATACACTATTCTGCGCTTCGACCATCCTCAAATCTGTACCACATACTTCCAAATATTACCTTGAACTGGAATCATAACAATATTTATTTAAGTGTGTACTGAAAAATATTATATCCAAGCGGCTGAAGTCGGTTGTAGAAATCTTGAACCCAAAATTATTACATTTTTAGTACTTGAATATATTCCATATTAGGTTGTCAAATATCTTCCTTCACCCTTGTTCTTTTTTGAGTTTCTTAGCTATGTATGTATAAAGCGTTACAGAGCTCATATCTGGCAATACCATACATCTTTGAAAGGTCCTCACATAACCTACAAAACGACGCTATGCATGATTAGTTTGGGTATTGCGTCCAACAGTTATAGACGTGTAGACATGGAGTTCACTAATGCTAAAATTCGCGCTATATTAAAGTTTTCCTTCGTTAAAGCCAAATCCGCTAGAGAAACGTTCAGTGAGATTAATGGTGGCTTAGTGGAGTGTACTCTAGCACTTCGAACTGCTGGAGGAAAGGTTTCGATGATTCGGAGTGGCTCAAAAAACGACACCATGGATAAGCCAGCTGGCAAAAGACCTGTGACGACGAATACCGATCAAATCATAGAAAACATCGAGTTAAACCGGTATGTGGCATCTAGTGACATCGCACAGAAAATGGGGGTATTCTTAAGTTGCCGTCTAGATGCAAACAGATTAGCGAACGAAACGGCGCATATTTGAACTGAATCCGATACATTTCGTCAATTATTCATTAACTTTTATTTACTTTGCAACAGAACAAAATATTTTGCAAATGCAAAAAGTGCCCATAAAACGATAACCAGTCTTCAGGGTTGTGAAACCATGATGTTCAAAATTTCTTTACCCGAAACATTAATATTTCTATGGGTATTGGGTAGAGCAAGGCTGTTCAATCTGCCTTTGCTAGACGCATTCGATAAATAAGTTCTCAGCCTGCCAAGAGTCGAAAGCGATCTTTGACTGGGAGCAGCTGATATCGGTAAAGTTGCAGTGATCTGCAGATATCGATGAAATGTTTGGGCTTTCAATCAATATTTTTAGAACACCTAAAACTTCCCTTTGGGTAAGTTTCTGACGCTACAACTAACTACATAATTGTTATGTTTTGGAAAGAATTTTAATGAACAATCCTGTGTTATGACACGATGTCTTGCTAAGCCACAAACAAAATTGCTCGCATCCCAAAAAACTGAGGCCATAAACTTCTTGGCCGATTTCTGTTGCTGATGCGCTTTTTGGACGTCCTTCACGCTGGTTGTCTTCAAGGCTTGTGTAACCACGTTTAAATTCAGCAAGCCATCTTTCTACTTTTCTATGTATGTGTCATAGAGCATGTTGATTTGTAGAGAAACGTACAAATCGATTATGCGAGAAATATTCTATTATTCATTCTGAACCGCTTCAGCGATTTTTTAGGTGAAGTTTAATTTTAGTAAGTTTTTGAGATATCCGAAGGAAATTTAATATATATTTTTATTGATCATTTGTCGAAATCGGCTAGGTCGAACAACTAACAACATATCTCCCATATAACAGATTATTCAGTTAGAGTTCAATAGAGTTCCTTTAATTAAAAGGTAGCATCGTAATTTTGCAGAATTTTCCTCCATTAAACACTTAACAATGATGGAGAACATAGGAAAATGGCACAACCATAACATATGTATGTATATCTTCCATATAACGGATTATTTATATTTTTTAGGAATGGTACCTTCGTTTAGTTCAGTAGTTCAGAATGATCCGTAGAAAATTCACTGCTCTAATATAAATCTGTATATATGTAAACTTATGTACTAATATACATATGTTGTGTATAGAACCCAACATTCCCGCATACCACACATATTGCAACAATTTGTGTCAGTAGCCACGAAATTCGCCGCCGCCACATTGGCTAGTGGCTAGTGGCTGATGGCATTTACAGTTTTGCACTAAATTAAATGCGCATTCACTTGTGCAACAGCATGTTGCACTAAACACACACAAATACGTACATAACGGGTAAACCGTTATTTGCACAACTTGTATGAACTACAGCCACGAACTATTAGCTCCTGTGTGTATGCGTAGCAATGGAGCACAGACAATTTGTACGCGCGATGGGGCTGCCCTTCCTGGAATACATGCTGGTTTATGCGCGAGCTCTCTACTCGATACATATGTATGTACTTAGTACATACTCAACTACTCAATTTCGCTGCATTTGGCGAATTATGAACCTCTCAATTAAGTGCAAAAAATGGCGCCAACTGTGTTTTGGCCCGCCACAACAACATGCTGTCACATATTGTCAGACAACACACTATCGTTTATAGAAGCAGCAGCCAAACTAATGTCAACTAAGCTGTGTAGCAACAACATACATAGAGCAACGCTGGAAATTATCATGCAAAAGTCTGCAGCACGAATATGAGCATGAGCCCTAAATATCAACACCACCGTAAGCAAAGAAACTCACGGACCAGCTAGTGAGCGCAGCAGCTTTTAACTGCAAGACAACAGTGACACCATCATCGCGATATTTTAGCGTAATAATAGCTAGCAAAGCGCCAGAATGCACACACCGCTATTTTCTTCGGTAGATGTGTGTGGGTATTACATATGTGTACTTCAGGGTGACAGAGGCCATTATTACAAAGACAGTTCCTTGCAGTATATACTACATTATGGCAGATTGCTGTATATACAATAGTTGAAGCTTCATCTAACGGTACTTTGTGAAAGCAAATTTTGTCTATAAAGATATAAATAATACTCACCTTAGCCGCTTTGACTTTACCGATATTGATTCAAAGGCTGTTATTTCGACAGTTTTTAAGGTAGTCCCCGTCTGGTAAAAGGTGCTTCTGCCAATGCCCGTTTCAGTCCTCAAAATAATAGCAACAGTCTTATTCCGGTATGGACTTCAAGTTCTTGTATGATTTCGATCAGGTTGCGCAACACTGTGATGCTAGTTTTTCGCAAAAAGATCGCAAGGAATCAATTCTGTATAGCGATGTGCATTATCGTGATTTTGATACCAAGTGAGACTTGACGCGGCTTGAGCCAAATGACATTTTAACACTATCGGCGGGGTTTCTAATTGTCATGTGATAATTTTTGATTGATTTTTTCATTATGGCTTTCGTCTGTAGTGGTTGATGGTTGTCCAGAGCGCGGTTCGTCTTTGACAAGTTTTCGGTCCGCAAGTTGAACTTGTTATACCACTTATAAACGTTTATAGTGTGATTAGCAAAATTTAACCATTGTACAAAATTGAAAAGTTATCTTTAGATTGTTATCAAAAACATAAGTAACTCAGAGATATTTAAACTTTTGGCAAACAGGTGCCTGTCAAATATTATAGACTGTCCTACCAGCTGAGAAAAAAAATGTACTCAACACTAATATATAA